TATTTTTCTCCACCAACAAAGGTTTCAATTTATACCTCAAGTTAGATTATTTGACTGATGCAGAAAATGCCACATCATTTTCATTTAACTCTTTCCACCCTTAACTGCAAGAAATTTTTTATAGTTCTGAGAGCATGTACATGAAGCTCTCGCCAATGCGGGATCTAGAGAGGATCAATATATGCAATCTTTCGTTTAAATATTTAAAGAGATTATTTCCATGACTTAAATCCTGATCTCCCAGATCACAAAGGAGCAATCTTACCGTTGTACCAAGGCCCACCCTCATGGTCAAGACACCAAATACAAAATAAAAATTAATCCACAAAACATATATGCAATCTATCCCACATAGTTCTCAAAATAAATGGATCAAATCACAAGTAAAAAAGCTAAATTTGATTCATAAAAAAAGAATGTAAATCACATAAAACACAGTCCATGCTGAGTCCTGTAGATCATATTCAACAAGGCCCTGCTATGAGCATCAAGAGACTGATCAGCTTCAAATACACTGCTTTTCATTTTCATGGCACACACACTTGACTCCCCGCAAGGCTGGCTCCCCAATCTGAACATTTTCCCAAGCTCTCCAAATAGAATTTTAGAGCTTAAGTAGTTAAAAGATAATACTAGAAAAGTGTCTTCTGCATTTTAGGAAAAAAAGCAATTTAAACAGACCAAATAAATGCACAGTGACCTAGTTATTATTACGATGCTACATGTCGAACAGTAAACAAAACCAATAATTTTTATTAGGAAAATACTAAAAATAACCAATTTTGAGTTGCTTTTGAGGTTGCATTTGCTGAAATGGTATCACTCATTATTGAAATTACTTTAGGAATGTAAGACAATATAGGGGGTTTGATGCTAAACCGCTCCAAAGAAATTATTATTCGGAACCATTGAGATAGAGGTAAGCAAAGATAAACTGACAATTGGTTCTTATTGAAACCATTTATGTTCAACAAATCCTACGCTTTTATGACAGATGATACAAACAAGGCAAAATATACCACCGAGAAAAGTAAACGGAGTTTTTATAAGCTAAGAACATTACGACACGATAGCCATCGTAGACGTATCAAGGAAGCAATGCATCAAGGAACATTCAGAACTTTAGGGTGGCAAACAAAAGCTGTAGTAAGAAAACATACAAAGAAACAAATTAGTTGTTCATGTCAAATTCTGTGGACCGAGATATATTAGAAAGAAAGCATCCGGCAAACACTAATACCTAGAATCAGAAAAGGGCCTGTTCGATTCACCATATAACTGGATTCCAGACAAGTAAGGCACGTAGTACTGGATCACGCTGCCCGCTCCGCTCAGAACCAGCGGAACGCCAGCACCATACGCGCTCCACTCCGTGAACGAGACCCAGAGATCCGCCAGCGCAAAGTACGGCCGGCACTCCTGGTCAGAAGCCCTCCATCCCCTCTTCTCCATCTGCAAGCCAATCAAAGTCAGTCAATCTCCAAGAATCCCAAAGCGACAACAACCAAAAGGAGGAAACTTTCTAAACCTTGGAAGGGTACAACGCCGGGACGGACGGAGTTATGGACTCCAAGAATCGTTTCAAGTTACAAGAATGCGCAACAGAAGGACCCCAAGATGAAACGGACGCGATCCCGGTCTTCGGACAATCTTCCTCTGTTCCTGCTCGGTTCTCCTGCTCACGGGTGCCGGAGACCGACACAACAGCCTCTGCGGAGCTCCCAGAAGCAAAGGAAGGGGCGGGGTAAGTTCCGGCGGCGGAGGTGCTTGAAGACCTCCATGGACTCTGCTGGTAGTGCCGTTGGTGGCTGTGGCGGCTCCACCGTGCCTTATCGGCGTAGCAGACGCGATCCTCCCCATGCCCGCGTCCCAACTGCACGCTACTCCCCAACATTTCCACCAAACTCCAATAACTACAAGGAGGAGCCCTACTTCCCGGCCCAAGAATCCTAAATTCCCAATCCAGAGGGATGAAAAACGGGGGGGTCTCTGGATGCAATCAACCCAAAAGAATCCAAAGGAAAGCACAATCGTATCCAAAACGAAAGATGCAAGAGAGAAACGAGATCGTAAATAGGTGAAGAGAGTGCCCTTGATGGAAAGGAATTCGAGTGACGCAGAGGAGACCGAAAGAAAACGAAAGAACAGGCGAAGGGAAAGAGAATTAAAAGAAAGGAATTAAAGCGAGTATTTCTTTGACTGCCACTCCAACGTTTCTCCGCAAGGCACCCATCTATAATTGGAGGGAGCATTGTGGCCCTCACCACATGTTTCCAATCAACAAGAAGGTAGAAAATGGGCCGCAGCGGCTAACATGGGTAGGACAAGCGAGGTTAGGGGCAGGACGCGGTATTCTTTTTATATGATGATCCTCTGAGACATGTGAGCAGTTGGGGAATGCGCGTGATGGGACAGCACGGGAGGATGACGACGGACGAGGAAACACCACGTGGATGAAAAGAAACGTGTCAGCGTCAGATAAAACGGGGAAGCTACTGGATGGATCGCCCATCCTGTGGAGGAGACGACCCACACGAGTAGCGCGTCACGAAGGCAGCAGTGTAAGCATAAAATCAATATTCATGACATCTGTAATGCGAAAAAAATTTATGTCAATATTGAAATCAATTTTTATTAGATCTAATATATATATTACGATACATATTTTTTATTATTTAAAAAAATAAACTTTATTTAATCACGAGCGTCCCATCCAAAGAGAACTAAATCCTTCTCCTCTCTTTCTATCGTTTCACATAACCACCTAAATTGATCGATCAAGGAGGAAAGAGGAAGATTGAGAGAAAAATTTTAATCTCTTAATTGTTATACTCAGATATGTACATGACCCTTAGAGGTCCTGTCTATCAAATACACACTTAACCCCTAGAGGTCCAGTCTATTTATAGACGAGACCAGAGGGTCTAGGATAAGTTATTAGGAGAGTTCCTCCCATCAAGGTTATCTCATAAGGAATCCTACTTTAATTGAATTTTTTTTCTATTGACCAATAACCATAATCAGAATCCAATCATATCTATAATATATCTTACCTAATTAAATAGGACCATATAATCTAATATTCTCTCACTTGACCCAATAATTGATAAGATACAAAAGACTTAAAAATCAAAAATAAATAAATAAAATTTATTTAAAAATAATTTGACTCAATTGGATTCTGAAATTTTAGAAAAAAACTATATACACGTGCGCAAATTTTAAAATAGGCCAATAAGTTCAATAATTATAATAATGCTACATTAAGTCTAACTAATAATATGAGTCATAGCGGTTGTATGCTATTAGTGTCACACTTCCTTCTATGTACTATAATATTGTTAGTCTTTCTTAATGCAATCCAAAATGACCCATATAATTTGTCTTGTCAAGACAATCCTGTCATCACATTCAACCATAATATGTACATACATAATTGTGAACAGGATAGTAGAAACAAATAACTTTAAGTATATAATCAAGAATGTCAATTATAGTATCCACTCAAACATGAATCACCATATCCTTTATGGGTTGCTCACAAACCCAATCATAAGAATATGTTCTTTCAAAATACTTTAGACCGTAAGTCCTAAGTGAATGGATCAGCAATCAATATAATGGAACTCAAGTAATTAATTGACATTGGATGTTTTTGGACTCATATTATCTAACCATAAAGTACTTTATATCATAATGCATATAGATGCAATAGTACTTGTCATTCTTAGAGAAGAAAACTACTGCAATGTCATAAAATATCTTCAACGACTTGGTAATTGAGTCTAACTACACCAAGTCTGAGATAAAAATTTTGTAGTCCAAAAATTTGATTAGTGGCCTCAAAGCATACCACAAAATCAACTTCTATTATTAATAATAATAAATTACCCCTCTAATTGATATAGATATTAACTCTAAGGTGGACTTCCTATTATCGAGGTAATTTATACAATTAGCATTTGAAAAATATCATTATTTCAAGCTAATATAATTTCATACATGTGAGCATATAATCCTCTGTCCCTTCCGGATATATTTTCTCTGTAGTCCTTTAGTGTTTTTACTTCTGGATAACTCCAATATATACCCAATATTTTAACTGTAAAAAACTGATATCTTTTCTAACACAAGCTTTAGCATAGACTTCCAACTGCGCATATACAAAGAATATCTTCTTTATCTAATTCTTTTCAAGTCATTTTCAAGCATTTATTATTGACTAGAATTTTGCTTTTATGAGTTACTGAACAAAACTGGACATTAAATCTTTTCAAGACTCGGTTGATATATCCTTTCTAAGACAATCTTTATAATCATTGAGGTCTATCCTTGAATTACTCAATGTTAATAATATAAGATGTCTTATTCATATCAACTATATTAAAACTCTTAGTGACAAATTTCTTGATTTAGTATAATAAATCAAGATCACTATTAGTAAGACAAAATATTATCCTTATATAAGACCAATATAATAAACTTGCTCCCACTGAAATAAATACTGATTAATAGTATTTATCTTAAATATGAAAATAATGATATTAAAAACCTTTATATATCATTATCTTAAAACTTGTTTAAGGTCATAAATGGATTCTTGAATTTGCATATCAAACTTTATATTTCTTTTATTTTCTTTGTAAATAGTAACCCATATAAAGCTAGATCTTTAAAAAAAAAATATTTTCATATCATTATGATATAACTCAAACTCATAATGAGTCACTAATATCATGATAATTCTTAATGAGTTCATTAAAAATCTCGTTATAATCGATACATTCTTTATGAGTAAAACTTTTAATCACAAGCCTGACCATTATATCGTTCGACATTGTCCTTTGAGTTGAGTCACATTTATATAATAGACTCTTTTACAATTATTAGACAATTCGATAAATTTATCAGACACTATTCTGGTTATTGATTTTAACTCTTTTTTTTATTACATCATATTACTTTTCAGAATCATTACTTTTCATGACATATGACAAAAATAAGGGAACCATTCTGATTCCTATATCATAATATAATTCTTGTAGATATGCAACATAATAATCATAAATGACATGATTCCTTCCCCTTTCAGATATTCTCAAAGTTGTCAATTATGATTGTTCTACAAGACCATTAATAATGATATCAATGTAATATGGGAGTTTAGTAATGTTATTTTGTTGTTCACTTTTAACAAATCATTTAATGATTTGAGTAACAACAATCTCTCGAATAATAAATGAGTATCAATTTATATCTCCTTTATATCAAAATTAAATTTTGAGATTTTCACTCCATTGATTTGCTATTTTATAGGAATCTTACATTACCAGATTTAATTGTCCTCGTACTATGATTAGAGCAATAAGATATGTACCCCTTTAAACTTTTCTGAATAGATAATAAAATATGCAAAAATAATTATTAAATTTAATTTTCTTTTATATGAGTTGAAGATCCTTATCTCCATAGGACAATCTCAAATATGTAAATATCTTAAGTTAGGTTTCCTATCATTTCATAACTTAAAAGAAGTCATGTAATTTACTTACTAGGAATATCATTCAAGATATCAATAATTGTCCTTGGAGCTTTTTCTCACAATGATTTAAATACAAAAGAATAACTTATCATTGCTCATAATCATATCTATAAGGTACGATGATACCTTTCAGCAACCATATTCTGCTATAACATATTTGGTAAATCATATATCTTATTTTTCCAAGAATCTAGCAAAAGAATTATAATTGGGTTTATCATAAATACCATAAAATTTATCACCCTTGTCAGATATGATAATCTTGACTTTTCTATCTAATTGTCTATCAACTTCATTTATATATACTTTAAAAGTGTAAACGGTCATAGACTTTACATGAATTAGATATATATAATCATATCTTAACGGATTATTTATATGGTGATAAAATGTCTTTTTAACGAGACGAAAGCATAGAGTGATAAACATAACCTCAAGGAGTTTATAAAACTACATTTCATTTCAATATTTAATTGTAGGATCATTATAAACTTATGATTCATATTAATTATGTATAAACTATCATACAGAATTCAAAGGTTAATTTTATTGAATCATAATAAGTTTACAACCTCCAAAAAGGAAAATAATATTCTAATAATTATAGGTAACGAACACAAATTCTCATAATTATAAGAACACAAGAATTTTCAAGATTTATCAAATTGAATCGTCTTTAGACATAAGCGATAAATACAAACTAATATCGCTTTCACTTTAAGATGATTCCCTACATTGATAAATATCTCATTCTCTTTTGATTTTATCTCTCTTCATTTTTTTATTTTAATAAATATCTATTATTGGTAACATATGTTAAAGCATCAAATTAATTCATCAATAATATCTGTAATATTTTATTTGAACCATATAAAAAAAAGGTTATATGTATACCATTTTCATTTCAAATCAAATCTTATAGTATATTTCTTCTTTACGTAACTTTATTTGTACAAAAGTAACACTTTATTGTGAAGATATTCTTTTATGAGTTTATATAGTAATTATAATGGACTTATGCTTCATCCTTATTTTAGTGTTATCTACTCCTTGAGTAGTACTCAAAATATTATGAGTCTTGAGCTTACAGCTTTATCATTTATTTTGAGGATATAATCTTGAATTTCTCAAATACTATCATAGGTATCAACTAATGACTTATCAGAAAATTTAAATTGATTTCAATAATTTGTGTTCTGTTCAATTAATCCGATCAAGGTCTCACTCACTCAATACAATTTGCATATGCTCAAGCCATTTATTTCAGAAAGTATAGGGACATTTACAAAAATACAATAAATGAAGTACCACTATAATAATATAATATTAATGCTTTGAGTTTCCAAAATATGATGAACTATTGATATCATCTATATTTCACCTTTGGGTGAAATATTGACATATTTAATGTTCACTTAAAATCACTTATGGAGGACTGATACTGTTATGGTAAGTACCTTTTTTAGCCGTGACCTCGGGATCAACGCGGTTGGTTCAGGGGTCCGAATGGCTGGGATCAGGCGTGACTCTTCTCGGGATC